ATGGAACACCTACTGAGTGCCATGTGCCTGTCACTATGCTCTATCTGTATTGCCTCTTTTAATTTAGTCACATGAGGACTTTCTGAAGGTCATAGAGGAGTAGATGTAAGAAGAGAGGTGAGTGTGCTGCTTCAGTTCATTGTACCATTCGTTTATAAAGCCAAATGCAACTGATAGGGTGAGAATAGCACTTCCCAGATTTCACAGCCTGAAAACTGGACACTGTGGTGTCTCTCAAATGCAACCACCAACAGCTCTGAGCTCATTACTGGAAAATGTTTCTAAAATATCCAAAACTTTGGCCAGGTATGGTGACTCACGCCTGCAATCCTAGCACTTTGGGAAACCAAGGCAGGTGGATCACCTGAGGTCAGTAGTTCAAGACCAGCCTGACCAACATGGCAAAGCCCTATCTCTACTAAAAATACAAAATTAGCTGGGCATGGTGGTGGGTGACTGTAATCCCAGCTACTCGGGAGGCTGAGGCAGGAGAATCACTTGAACCCAGGAGGCAGAGGTTGCAGTGAGCCGAGATCGCACCATTGCCCTCCAGCCTGGGCACCAGAGTGAGACTCAACATCTCAACAACAACAAAATATCCCAAGTTTTGGCCGGGCGCGGTGGCTCAAGCCTGTAATCCCAGCACTTTGGGAGGCCGAGGCGGGTGGATCACGAGGTCGAGAGATCGAGACTATCCTGGTCAACATGGTGAAACCCCGTCTCTACTAAAAATACAAAAAAAATTAGCTGGGCATGGTGGCGCGTGCCTGTAATCCCAGCTACTCAGGAGGCTGAGGCAGGAGAATTGCCTGAACCCAGGAGGCGGAGATTGCGGTGAGCCGAGATCGCGCCATTGCACTCCAGCCTGGGTAACAAGAGTGAAACTCCGTCTCAAAAAAAAAAAAAAAAAATCCCAAGTTTTGAGGCACAAATATGCCTTGGAAAAGGCTTCTGTGAACCTCAGTTCAAACCCTACCTCAACCTCACCCCTCTAAACTGTAGATTCCTCAGCAGCATGGGAATAAGGGAGGACCCACCTCCCTGGGTTGTAGTGAAGATGACATAAAATAAGGATGAAAGTGTTCAGCCTACAGGAAATGCTCTGATACTACTAGTTGCCTTGCTCCTCCTCCATTTTCACATCCTTTAAAAAGGCAAGAGTTTTATGTGGTGGTGGTTTTTGTCTTTTGTCTGGTCAAGTAATCTAGCTCAGAGACTAGAAATTGCCTTTCCTAGTAGTTACCTTCTCCTCCTCCACACAGGTAAGCACTCAGCTCCTTAGTAAAAAAGCTTGAAGTTTTTGTTTGTTTGTTTTGTTTTGCTACAGCTGCTTGTCGTGATTTTTCAAATTAGGAAAATGTATTCATGTGCTCTGATGAAACTGTATAGTGAAACACACTGTATTTAACATACCAAGTATTAGTAAGAATCAAGGACAACTAAAAAGCTTAAAAATGTGCATTTCTGTCTCAATCCCAGAAAGTCGAACTGTGTGGGTCTGCGGCAGGCACCGGGAACCTGTAACTGATTGGACGTGGTTTTTGCCACAGTAAGATACCTTGATGTAGGATAATCAACTCACAATATTGACCTCCTAGGCTATCATGTCATAAAGGCTAAAGCTTTTGATACAAAACAACATGACATATCAGCATTAAGTGTAAAGAATAAATATATTCAGTCTTAAAAATCTGCAACATCCCATATTCTAAGTCACATAATTCACACTTTAACGTGTATTTTTATCTTGATAGAATAAAATATTACTAGTCACTACTAGTGACTAGTTTATGTCTTCTCCAGTTAACATACTCTGGGAGTACCTCGAACCCTTATGTGGTTAAATAGAACCATCCCCTCTTTCACTTCCACATTTACTAGGTGCTAAACTTGCATTTTGACCCTCTGCCTTTCTGGTCCAGCAGGTGGAGCTGGGGAACCTGTGGAAGGCAGGACCGCAGGGCATCCAGCAGTAATCACGTCCTCGCTAAAGGACACTGGTGAAAAAGGAAAGTATAGGAGTCTTCGAGAGAAAAGGATTCTGAGCAGAATCCTTTCCCAGGGATGCAGCTACCCAGCGCATGAAAATGCCTTTTCCTTCTCTACCTAGGCCCCCTTCTAAACATTGAGGGGGAAAAAAAGGAAAGACACTGGGGTCAAAAAAGGAGAAAGGAGGAAAATCCTGCTGTACTGTGACCTAATCTTTGTCACCTATATAGAAAACTTTTTTTTTGGCGGCGCGGGGAGGCGGGGTACCAAATTTCTTTATTTGAAGAAATGGTACAAAGAACTTAAGTGGATGTTTTGGTACAACTTATAGAAAAGGTAAAGGAAACCCCAATATGCATGCACTGCCTTGGTGACCAGGGAAGTCACCCCGTGGCTATGGGGAAATTGACCTAAGGCTTAGCTTTCACTATCACTGTCTCCCAGGGTGTGCTTGTCAAAGAGATATTCTGCCAAGCCAGATTGGGGTGCTCCCATCTTGCGCAAGTTGGTCACGTGGTCATCCAATTCTTTGATGGATTTCACCTGCTCATTCAGGTAATGTGTCTCAATGAAGTCACACAAGTGTTTCCTAGGACAGTCTACTATCTCCTGAAGTGGTTCAGGGCAGGCACGGTGGCTCATGCCTGTAATCCCAGCACTTTGGGATGCTATGGTGCGTGGATCACTTGAGGTCAGGAGTTCAAGACCAGCCTGGCCAACATGGTGAAATCTCATCTCTACTAAAAATACAAAAAAATTAGCCAGGTGGCACATGCCTGTAGTCCCAGCTACTGGAGGCTGAGGCTGGAGAATCACCTGAACCCAGGAGGTGAAGGTTGCAGTGAGCCGAGATGTTGCCAGTGCACTCCAGCCTGCTGGGCAACAGAGTGAAACTCAGTCTCAAAAAAAAAAAAAAAAAAAAAAAAAAGGAGATTCAGCAGCCTCATCTGCACCATGACCAAAACCCCTTCATGCCATGCCGAGGGAACCAGGGACAGAAACTCAGGAGCAATTGACTTACAAGCCCACTCCATATGCTGAACGTAACACATCCACTCTTGCCTTATGATTGGGACAGGCACAGCTGTTGTGGGAGTCATAAAGGAGGGAACGTGCTAGAAGTGTTGGCAAGGGTAGAAATGAGATGGAGGTGCCACAGTGAGCTTTGATCACCTAAAAAGCCACTCTCCACAACTTCTTGGGAAACTTCTGAAGAAGAAAACACAAAAATAATTCAGCTTCAGAAAGTAAGTGTGGGCTTGTTTTAAATCTGACAGAGAGCTGCAACACAAGGCATGCCCTCTTGGAAGCAGCTCTGCAGCAGACGGTTATCTCTAGGAAGTGTACATTTGACGGGCATCACAGCTGGCTGCACTTCCATGCAAATAGATCTGCTGAACCTCCTTCAAGGATGCCAGTAACATGAATTCCCTTAAATCACATGCTTAGAAAAGAGAAGAGAGATGCTTAAAGCACCAAGGTTTAGGATTTGTTTAAAACCAGTAATAACCAAATTTGGTTTGGGGAAGGCTGTTTGCAATTCCCCTTTGCTACCCCAATTCAACCTACCCCCAACCCCACACCCACGCTATTCTTCTTTACCTTCCCCTCTCACACCTCTATACACAGTAAAGGGTCAGGACACTTTCTTTACAGATTACATGTACTTCTCTGGGTTTAGAAGAGAAATCTCAAGTCTGATAAGCATGCAGGACAAGCTAGTTAGCAAAAGAGAGTAACAGCTAATACTTGTTGAGCACTTCTTATGTGCTGCTCTGCCAAGTATTTTACATGCATTTTTCCTTGAATCCTTATAACCATCCTGGGAGCTTCATTTTCCAGATGAGAAAATCAAGGTTCTGAAAGACTAAGTAACTTGCTCAAAGTCACATGGCTATTCAGTAGCAAAGTCAAAATTTGAACCCTGGTTGTCCGGCTTGAAAGCCAAAGGTTTAATAACTAAATTACTTGAGACATACAATTATTTTCCATGAACTTCTGATACAGGCTAAGAGAGCATGCTTTCTCCATGGGAGCCCCAACAGCCTCCAGTGCAGAGTAGACACCTGCCACAAGAAGGCAGTGCACACCTGCCCCGCACACCTGCCAGCCCACAAGGAGCACACCCCAGGCAGTCCTCAGTCTCAGGATGCCATAGAGCCAGGGCAAGGTGGCCACAGGTGACCTTCCCAGGGAGGGGTAAGTACCGGCCTGACAAAATGGTATGGCATTTTTTTAATAAAGGGGAGAGATTAAACGGCATTATATGGAGCGTATCATGCTGAAATTTAAGGATCTTGGTGCTAGCATTACTGATCTTCAACAGGCAGCTCAAATAAGCTTAACACGTGGGTTTCATTGAAAGAATTAACCTGTTGCCAAGTAAAGTGTCTCAAAGAATTGGAACGTTGTCAAACTAGCTTAACACCATGAAATGGTAAAACTTAATGAGAGACTCTATAAATCTTGAGGAATACAACACACGGCTCTCTCTCTCCAAAAAATTGTGATTTTGCAAGTGGTTTGGTGTCTTTCCTGGGCACGCACACACATCGGTAGGTGAAATGTAACTAAAATCTGTTTTTTTATTTGAGAAAAATGTCTTCCATTCCAATTCCTTTCGAATCATTATACCAACTTTTTAAGTTAAAAAAAAAAAATTCAGATAGCTGATACAATCATGCTAAATAGTTTTCTTTAAACGTCTGCTCAACCTCCTGGAGCCCTAACACACATTTCTGAGCACGAAAGCATTAACATTAAAGTAAAACAAAACCAAGCCTGTGATGCAGTGCTGAACCCAACAGACTGGGGGTCCCTAATGATTCTTGCAAATTAGCAATCCAGGGTGCTGGATCCAGCACCTTGGACGTAGATGACGGGATGGAGAAGGAAAGGAAGGAGGGAGGGGGAGAAGGGAAGAAAAGCAGAAAAGCTTTGACTGAAAAGAAAAAGTAAGAAATGCAACGTCAGCTCTATTTGCTCCTGAGAAGAGCATGTCAGCTACTCACCTGTCTACTGCTTCCACATCAAAGCAAAACCTCTTCTCAATGGAATCTGTTTTCCGCCGCGTGCAGGATTTGAGGGTAACTGATTCATCTTCTCCCTAGTGGGAACACAGAGACTATCAAGATGAGGCTAAAATGGGAGCTCTACTCCTCTCCAGGACACACATGACATGTAAACAGGAGCAATCATTTTGTCTTCTCAGATCTGAGCGTTCATGACCACAGGTGGAGAAAGGGTGATTATAAACCTTTCCAGGAAAACGTGTCCTGCAGCTTACACTTGTACACCATGTTAGACCTGGAACCAAACATCTTTTGTACAGGTGGATCATGATGGCACCACATCAGTCCATGGCAGATAAACGAGTGCTGACATTCTTTTAATTTGCAGGTTTGCTAAGTGTAGAAGAAGATGGTCTACTCCCAACTCTGGGCTTCTATAATCTTGGGTCGGTCATTACTTCTTCAAGAAAAGCTTCCTGGACCAGGACAAATATCTCCAGTACATGCTCACATAGCATCAGATACCTCTCCCTCTGTCATAGCACCGACCAAAGATGAAACTGTGCATTGATATAGGCGATAAATACAATAATGTTTTATATCACAAGCCCCCAGAGAACAGAGACTGGCTCAGTTTTTGCTTACTCTTGTCTCCTGAGCCCAACTGGAACCTGGAACAGAATAGCTGCTCAATAAATACATTTTACCAACTTTATTGACATGTAATTAATATATAAGCTGTAAATGTTGAACTGTACAATTTGTAGATTTTGATGTCACATACACCCATAAAAATATCACCACAACCAAGCCAGCAAACAATTCCATCACCCCCAAAAGTTTCCATGTATCCCCTGGCAATCCATCCCTCCTCCCAGTACATCCCCAAGCAATTGCTAAATCTGCTTTCTGTACCTATAGTTTGCATATTCTATAACTTCTTATAAATGGAACTACACCGTATGTGTTCTTTTTGTCTGGCTTATTTCACTCAACATAATTGCGTTGCTATTCATCTGTGTTGTTGTGCATATCAAGAGCTTATTTCTTTTTATTGCTGAGTAGTATTCCATCGTCCAATTCAATGCAACAATTTCATCTCATAGCACTAATTTATTGCCTAGAAACACAGAAGTTGCTGTCTCTGATTTCTTCTTACTGTTACTTAGGAATTTTTAGGGTTTCTGTTTCTCCCGCCTCTGTCAATCTTTTTTTATCTAAACTAAGGGGGGAAATTAGTAAGCTTGCCTAGTTTGTTGAATCAAAGAAAGTGTGGCTACATAAGGTAAAACTTAACCACCCACTAACATCAGAATAGCAAACAAAACACAGAAGACCTAGGAGGAGACAGTTTATATTCACAGGCCTTACATCTATTGTCTTCCATTGAATAGCAAAGATAATTTCTCAGACAGAACTGCACTTTCTCTAGCCTGTAAAATACCTGAGTACAAACACCAGAACGTAAGAGATTCTAACTTTGCCGATGCCTAACTATACATCTGATTTAAAGGCTATGGACCAGCTTCCACTTTGAAAACTTACACGAGGTGTCCCAGAGAAATGGGAGGGAACAGGGAAATATAAAGGACCATCAAATACATGCAGAAAGAAGATTAAGATTCTGGTCCAAGGAGGACCATACCATATAAGCAAAAATCTATAAAGATAGTCTGTTCTGATTACTTTTAAAAGTGGGGAACATGGACATCCCTTAAACAAATAAATGAAAAGTTATAACCATGACAAATTCTATTTTTCAAAAAGGAGTCAGCTTGTACTACAAAAGCCTAAGTTAAGGAGATCTGACGTGGTCAGAAAGGTTAGGAAAAGCTTCCTAGAGCTGAACTGAAAGAATTCATAGATAAAATAAGGAGGACAGGAGGAGGGAATGGAGCAGGTGGACAGACCCTGGGGTCAGGGTCTACAGAGGCTTAGAGAAACAGCAGGGCGGCCAATGTGGCTAGAAGAACAGAGTAGGGAAAACGGAAAGAAGGATTTGAGGAGGGACAGAGGCTAGACCATGCAGGATTCTCATTTGTGTCCTGAGAACAGCAGGAAAATAAAGAAGGGTTTGAATCAAAAGAAGGGATAGGATTAGTTTTGGGCTTCTCCAGACCTGCAGAGGTGCCCCAGCTCAGAGCATAGAATGCAGGGAGATTCTTTATCACACATGGATTCTGGTCTCCAGGAGGATGTGGCAAAGCTGCTCACAAGTCCAGACCTGAAGCCAGGTCTGTTCGGTGAGTACTTTGAAAGGAAAATGATCCAAATAAAAGGGACAGTGAGGAGACATAACAGGTGGAGACAAAGCATGTTAGGAAAACACCCAATTATCTAGGTTAAAAGATTTATTTTCTCTATTGATCTATGTTCTATCTACCTCTAGCTCCTAGGTGAGCTTTGTTCAAATATGTATACAGGCCAGACATGGTAGATCACACCTGTAATCCCAGTACTTTGGAGGTCGAGGTGACCAGGAATCTGAGACCAGCCTGGGCAACATAGTGAGACTCAGTCTCTATTTTTTTAAAACGTATGCAACAACATCACATGATTCCTCTGCACAATCAAGAAGACATCACCACTAGACAGTCAGTCCTCATACTTCCTTGACCCTAAAGCTGAGGAAACAGTGATGTCAGGGAAAGTATAATGACTTTCAGAATCAGGAGATTCAGACTGTGGAAAGAGGGTGTGAGCAGGAGTTCTGTAACTTGTTAGTTAAATGACTTAGAAATCATATTATCTCTCCTAATCTCAATGTCCTCCTTTGTAAAAGGAGAAAAGCTGGATCAAACAGGATAACACAGAATAATAAAAGGATGTAGAAAAATATAAAACATAATATAAATGTAAGGGATTACTAGGAAAATTAATTCTTATAATATCAAGGTTCTAATATTGCACTCATTATGTTTCAGGATTTGTTCCAAAAAATTTATATATACAAATTGACATAAACCTCTTAACTACCCAATGACATGCTTTCTATTCTCTCTCCAAAGTCTTTGGAGAACCAAACATCCACTCTAATTGGTTTCTACCCTTCACTTTCAAGTGTGATAAGAAAGGAATAGAGAAAAGACAAAAGAGTTCTTCATTAAAGGTCTGAGAAAGCCCAAGATAAAAAGCCCGTAAACAGACTGTGTGAGAGAACACTTCGATGAAGTTGATTTCCAGAAGGACTAAGAACTGGGAAGGGATTAAGGCTCAATCCAAGGAAAGCAGGCCCAACTCTGTTTCCATTTCATGAAAACTAGGGGACACTTAGTAACGTAGGTTTTTATTATTCCTTCTAACTGTAATTTCTCTCATGACATTTTAACATCTGTTCGCCTGAGATTATTTATGAATCAATCTTGCCCCTGCCAAGAAACATTAAAAGGGCTTTGTTATTGCTTTGATTCAAGGAAGGAACAGAGATGCTGATAAACTTCTCTATTGTGGCTTAAGTAAAAGGAAGCCAAGAAGAAAAACTGGAAGCAGAAGAAAACATGGGCACAACATGGCTGAGTACCTAACAGTAATGACAACAGCACCTAATAGCACTGACCCAGGTAGAGTGAGAGCAAAGCCAGTGCTCCTAACCCCCACCATATAATGCTCCCCACCCCCCACCCCCACCCCCACACACACACACACACTCAACATCTTGCATAAAAATGCACTGCAGAGAGAACCAAGGTGGAATGCTCGGTCTAATTTATCAACAGATCAGACACAAACGAAAAACTACTTAAGCTTAAGACAGAGTAAGAGAAATTATTCAGAATATAGTCCAGAGACTCAAAGAGATGAACCATGTAAATATTTTTATGAAAACCATTCAAATATCTCCAGAAGGAGAAAACACAATGAGGAGGAGGCAAAATTCAAAGTGATAACTGGTGAGAATTTTCCAGAGTTATTGGAAGAGACCAAATCTCAAATCCTGGAAAGCCAGAAACTCCCAAGCAATAGATGAAAAAAGAAAAAAAAAATCAAAGCTAGGCCTATCATAATGAAATGCAAAATATCAGAGGAAGAAAATAAAGTATTAGGAGCAAAGCAAACAGATTACCTACATAGAAATGCACGTGGCCTGTGGGAGCACTCCGAGGAGAGGGACCGGCAGGAGGCGAGATGCAGCAGCTGGGAGGAAGGAAGAACTAGGAGCTTTCAAGAAGCTGCCCAACAGCAGGGACACCGGGGAGCCATACGTGCCCAACTGTCTCTTCCAAAGACAGCCACACATCATCTTCCATGCCACAGGCTCTTCATACAATGAGACCTTGGTACCCCTCCTATGGAGAGCCAGGGTCTACCTCTTTCCCCATTGAAACTGGGAGGGCTTCTATGGCCTTATTAACCAAGAAATAGTGAAAAAGTAAGGCTCTATGACTTCTGGGGTTAAGTCATGAAAAGGCAAGGCAGTGTCACTTTAGTTTTTAGAAGATTCACTCCTAAAAGCTTTTGCTGCCCTGAGACCACCATACTGTGAGGAAGCTCAAACCTGCTAATAGAGACAGACCAGATGCCAAGGGCCTGAGAGTATGCAGAGAAAGAGGGAAAGGGGAAGAAAAGGAGACGGGAGAGAAGAAGACAGCTGTATCTGACCAGCTTGAGCTGCTCCAGATCCTCCTTATTCCAGCTCTAGCTATCATCTTCTTAGTACCTTATGAGAAACCCCACGCCTGAACCACCCATCCAAATGCCCCCTGAATTCTTGACCCACAGAAATGGTGAGAAATACTAAAATGATTGGTGTTGTTTTAAATGTTGCTAGGTTTTGGGGTGACCTGCTACACAGCAATAGAGAACCAGGACATCTACACTGCCGCTGGCAGCTCTCCAGGTATCAAGTGGGAATGGCACTGAATCAATTTCACAGGATGAGGTTATCCAATAATTTTTAGCATATAAAAATATTTGACACGCTTGATATTGTATATATGTGAAATACAAAAATATTTCTTAATTGTAGTCCCTAATATAACTTAGAGCTAAGAGTAATCATCTTGTTTTAGTGATTCTTCAGCCTCCTAGGCTTCCTGGAACTACTGTACAAAAATATTTAAAATTATTAATTTTAATTTTATAATGAAACATAAATGGAACACTGGAGCTGTTACTCTCTACATGCAGTATAATCATTATATGTTAGCCAAGCAAGGTAAGCATAAAATTTTAAAAATGAACTCACCCCTTTTCCTCCTGACTTTTGGTCAAATGGTACCATGGTGATTTGCTTGGAATCCCGTTGATATGTACAGTAGTGCTTCACCCAAGAAGTTCCAAAGTGACCTGCAAGGTAATATTTCCCATAAAGCATCTATACATTCCACTGTATGCTACACATCATGAGCTGGAAAATTCATAATGCTCATTTACCCTTAACTATTTTAGGAGTAATATATTCTCCACACCAGCTAGAATGGACAGAAATTTGATCTCACAGGCTCAAATGAAACCAACCCAGGGATTTCCCCCAGGGATCAAAGAAGACTGTTTCCCACTATTACTATAGCCAGTGGGTCTTAAAATACAAGGAAAGTAGAGGTTCCCTGGGGAAATTAATCCACGTTCCCATCATAAAGCCCCAGTTGAAGTTTCCACTCTCTTCCCAGGCAGAAGTAAGATGATTAAGGAGTGAACGCAGAAAGGCTCCTCCAAGAGCTTGTGACCATTCCCATCTGTTGCGATGACATCATACTTGCCACACAGCTGCTCTGTGACTCTATGCACAGACATCAGGGGTTCTGACCTACTTCCAAACCCCTAAGTTACTTTGGCAGAACTCAAGAAAATCTGAAAAGCAGACAAAGAGACCTCAGAGACACCGGACATGCAGAGTGGAAGTGACCGTCAACACCCAGATGTAACCTCTAAGGAGTAGGTCCCTCAAGATTAGTATGTCACCTCAAGGGAGGTGCCACACAGTTGTGTTCTGACCAAGTATCTGATTTTACTCAGTGCTCCGCAAATTACTTGAAACAACAAAGTACTATTACAGTAAGAAGGCATTAGTCAGCCTGCAAAGAACTTCAGCCAATACTACTTTTAGATGCTTATAGAGATCACATAGCAAAAATTGTTTAAAAAATGTTTTTAAACATAAAGATAATTAGCAAACATTTAATAATTATTAATGGTATGGCATGACTGCAAATTGCAAGTATTAGATGTCCTTTAGTAAATTTAAAAAGTAATACAGTAAGTATTTCCAGTGGGGCATCAAGGACAAATGAATACAAACCATCTTAGTGCATTCTTACAGATTAGGGAAAACATTCCAGCAATCAAACAGCACAAAGATTTCCAAAGCACTGTATCTTGGACAACTTGAGCATCAAGATAAATAAGGACAGTGATAAATTATAGCCTCTTGAATAAAATAGGAACCCATAAATCCATACTGACAATGGAAAGATGGATAATGGATGGATGGATGGATGGATGAATGGATGGATGGAGATAGCAAGAAGGGAGGCGGGGGTGGGGAAAGAGGAGCAGGAATGACTCTTCCTTGCATAAGTACACTGAATGGTATCTGTTAAATGTGGAGGGATTAGATTAGTGGAACTGAGAAGTCACCATTTTGCAACCATCATAGTAAAGATTAGCTCAGGCAAGGATGGTTAATGGATGCTAAATGTATGGAGGTAAAGTGTGATAAGGAGAAGGGTATTTATATGATCTCAAGGTGTTATCTTCAGATTGCTAATTAGTTACAAGGTGAAAATAGCGACCATATAGTGGAGAAATCAGACAATACCTTGACTGGGTGATCAAAATTTACATCACCACTGAGGGGCAGATCAACACCACATGTGTCCAGATGTGGCCCCAGAGAAGAACACTTCTGTAGGATTTGAACAGGGATGCATAATCCAAATCTAATCATGAAGAAACACCAGACAAACCCATGCTGAAGAAAACTGTATAAAGGAACTGGCTTATGTTGTTCAAAAACGTCAACGTCGTGAAAGACAAAGAAAAGCTGGGGAATGTTCCAGATTAAAGGAGACTAAAGTCACAACTAAATGCAGGATGAGGTTCTGTACTGGAGAACAACAAAATGCTTTATAAGGCCATTATTGGTACAAGTGGTAAAATTGAAATATGGGCTGTAGTTCAGATTAAATATTGTACCAATGTTAAATTTATTTATTAGATTGGTGCAAGAGAAATTGTGGTTTTGCCATTTAAAGTAATGGCTAAAATCGCAATTACTGTTAAATCAACCTAATAGATGTGGTTACATAAAAGAATACATTTTGTGCTTAGAAAGTACTCACTACTGAAGTAAAGAAGTATGGTATATGCAACCCTATTCTCAAATGGCTCAGAAAAAAAGTGTGTATGTGTGTTTATGCAAGTCTATGATGTGCATACTCACACACTCACAGAAAGAGAGAAGGACTGATATAATTGTGGCTAAATGTTAAAAACTGGTGCACTGGGTAAAGGGTTTATGGTTGTCCCTTACACCATTCTTGCAACGTTTCTGTATGTCTGAAATTATTTCAAAATAACAAGTTATAAAAAATTCAAAATTAAAAAAAAAAATGCTGTATCCCCACCATGTGCTCTGGACTGTGTTAGGGAACAGTGTTCTCATGATAATCAACACACTAATGTTGAAAGAACATGTGAAGTGTCTGAATAAAAGTGTGTGATGTAATATGAGACTGCAAAAAGCAACAGATTTTATATATGTAAGTCAATGATATGTTAACAAATTAAGTATTTATAGGTAGACTTTGAACTGTATTTTTATTTTTATTTTGAGATGGATCTCACTCTGTTGTCCAGGCTGGAGTGCAGTGGCATGATCTCAGCTCACTACAACCTCTGCCTCCCAGGTTCAAGCGATTCTCCTGTCTCAGCCTCCCAAGTAGCTGGGACTAGAGATGCATGCCACTATGCCCAGCTAATTTTTGTATTTTTAGGAGAGACGGAGTTTCACCATGTTGGCCAGGATGGTCTCGATCTCTTGACCTCATGATCCACCCGCTTCGGCCTCCCAAAGTGCTGGGATTACAGGTGTGAGCCACTGCTCCTGGCCTGAACTATATTTTTATAGTCCTAAAAATGTATATTTTCAAGTAGACCTAAAACGTTTTGCAGGGATCTTCTTACTGGGCAAAAAGGGGGTCACTTTGGATTCAGGTATATATGAAACATACAACTGAATAGTTACATTTCTTATAAACATCAACAGGCTCATCCCTGTGAGAATAAGGAAAATAGGCCGGGCGCGGTGGCTCAAGCTTGTAATCCCAGCACTTTGGGAGGCCGAGGCGGGTGGATCACGAGGTCGAGAGATCGAGACCATCCTGGTCAATATGGTGAAACCCCATCTCTACTAAAAATACAAAAAATTAGCTGGGCATGGTGGCGTGTGCCTGTAATCCCAGCTACTCAGGAGGCTGAGGCAGGAGAATTGCCTGAACCCAGGAGGCGGAGGTTGCGGTGAGCCGAGATCGCGCCATTGCACTCCAGCCTGGGTAACAAGAGCGAAACTCCGTCTCAAAAAAAAAAAAAGAATAAGGAAAATAATCCTTACCACAGCTAATACCTCCAACACCACTACAGCATCACTGTTACCAGTAAACTTAAGTCCGAGCAAATTTTTGAGTAATTACTAAACAGAATAATTAGTGAAACCAAGTATTTCTATTCTATTCCATCAGGAAGCTATTAGGAATGAAGACATCTGCCTAACTCTAAATCAAGCGAAGGATGTGAAAGAACACAAAGCCAGCAAAAATCTGGAAAGACCCAAGTTCCCTACCAAGAAAGCAGGGTAGAAAACTAGAATTACCCATTAAAGAAAAAACATTCACTTTCTTTAATTCCTAGCATTGCATGCATGAATTAAGTCTGGATGTGCTACTACTCTAAACACACAGGCCCCATCACAAAGCCTTTCCCCAGGCGTAACACATGATCTTGTGAGTCATCACTAAAATGTCCATGTTAGCAGCACCTGACATTCATTTCCTAGACATCTTCAGCAGAGTAATGAGTCTTTTCTTGGTTTTTTGCTTTGTTTTGCATTTTTTCTCAGAGACAGGATTTTGCTCTATCACCCAAGCTGGAGTGCAGTGGCGGTGATCTCGGCTCACTGCATCCTCCACCTCCCGAGCTCTCACAAACCTCAACAGGCTCATCCCTGTAAGCAATCCTCCTGCCTCAGCCTCCCAAGTAGCTGGGATCCCAGGGGCACACCACCACACCTAGATAATTTTTGTATTTTTTTAGAGACAGATTTTCACCATGTTGCCCAGGCTAGTCTTTAGCTCCTGATCTCCCCACCTCGGAATCCCAAATATCCAGCCTTCTTCCTGTCTTTTCAAGTGAGCCTTTGTTTATACTTTTCATAAAATTCAAGTGTTAGGATGAAAGGAGTTGAGGACAAGAGAGAAAGGGTTAAGGCATGATTGTTTGGGCCTTGCTGAAACAATGTCAAATGACAACAGAATCACCAAGTATTAAGTCTACCAAAATACACCAGTGATAGACAACAGGGGCCTAGCATGGAAGACCATTCCAAGGCCGCTATGCTATGGGTATGGTATATAAAGCTGTACTAGGGGAATAGGATCCTCAAGAGTAGAGTAACACTAGAGAGAGAAAAGCAACCACAGAGCCTCAAGAAATTGCAGGTTCCCAAGGACATTCACAGTCATAAAGATACACAAAGGTAGACAAGATTCTGTGGGCATCGTCTTTCCCTTTGGAAAGATGAACTACAAAAGTGTTCTTGTTTATCCAAGCATTTATTTACAGTAAGGCAGGCACTGCTGGATACACATTCCACCTTCCAGGTAAGAGGCCTGAGTACATCCCAAACTGTTGCTAGTCAAAGCACTCACGTTTCTCCTGCACGTAGAGATATCCCTCCATGGTGTAGGGACTGATGGTCTTGTGTTCAAGGGGATTCTCCTTCATCTTTTTCATCAGTGATTCCACTTCTGATCTAGTGCCTTCAAAACGATTTCTTGTCTAGGATGAAAGGAATTTTATTCAAATGAAAGAAATGAAGTATCTATTTTAACAATCCAGAAGATCAACCTAATAGAATCCTTAGATCTAAAACAAGATAAAGGACACTCAACTCTCTAGGAACTGGCCAACTACTCACTTATAAGAAGTATACTTTGGCCTTAAAGTCCTATACCCAGAATGACTCTCAAATTCTAGTGACCATAAAAATCACTTAGGGATCTATAGAAAATGCAAATGCCCAGCCCTCACTCCTACAGATCAATTCAGGACCTCTGGACATCAAAAAGCGTGTTTTACAATAAGCAACCCAGGTGACTCTGATTCAGATGCTCTAGGAACCTGTATGACTTAAGGACCTAGGCATTCATTTCTCTAGCTGTCGTGAATATTACTTGCTGATGGCTCACAGATGAGTCCTTCCTTAAAAGGGAGTTCCCTCACTCAAGGTCAGCCTGCACCCAATGACTAGTCAAGGCTGGGGGAAAGGCAGAAGGGGTCGAAAGCCAGGCCCCCTTGCTTATATTCAGGGTGACTGTGAAGGATCATCCCAGCTCCAGAGCCCTCACCCCCAGCACTGGATGTCTGCTGCATCTGCATCACAGTTCTTTCTCCCCCTCTGCGAGTCCAGGTGCCCTCACTCTCTCATAGGTGTTTTCACCAGCACTGCCCCCCACCTCCAGCAAGCCTGCTGCATGTCAACCTCGATTTCAGAGCCTGCATTCTGAGGAACCCAGCCTAAGGGGAAGCCATGCTTTGTGAAACCTTTTCCAAGATTCTGCAACTTCCTATTCTCTGAGACAACACAGACTACTATGTAAGCTCCAGGCTTCTAAAAGCCATGCCGTACAATCCACATGGACACAAGATCACCTAGAGACAAAGAAAACATGAAGAATAACATGGTCCAATCCCACAGTGAAAAAGCAGGCTCGAGCCCCAGTAACTGCTCACCAAAAAGCCTGACACAGGATCCTGTGCACCAAAAGGTCCTGTGTTTAAAACTGGGAATGCTGACCACACTGGGAGCGAAGCACACTGACTTGGATTTCCTGCCAGCTTTCCTAAGAGTTGGACAATAGCACATCCTTTGAGCTGGAGGCCAGCATACGTTCCCCACCCCCATCTTCATCCCCATCCCCAGAACACACACTCCACACGGTCTCATGTAGCCAGGCAGCTAGATGCATAGAATGGAGGCTGGGCCGGGCTGGGATTCCCACTGCCAAAGGAAATCCTGACTCTGATGCTACAGATTTGAAACATAATCAGCAGCAGCACTTCCGAGAACATAAATAGCACTTTGAAATAATGGAGAAGGGGATGATGGTCTAACTCAGAACCACCAAGCACTCTAGAAACGCCTGCCCCTAGTTTCCCTCTGAACACAAGCAAGACCCATCCTCACCTACATTCTAATTCACATGGATGGTTTCTATGGGCAATCAGGCCCATACTTCATTTTTTCCTTAACCTGATAAAGGAAGCCTGTCCCTATGCCCACTCACGTTCTGTATGCTAATGGTTAACTGTGTCTTGAAGTCGCCGAAATCCTTGGCCAGTTCATAACCATGGTGATAGAAAGTGAAGAGTCCTTGCAGGAAGGCCAACAGCTGTAATGAAGGAAGAAAGGCAATGGTCACATAACCAGGTTGCAAAGAGGTATTATGTAGCTGTAGTTGAGCTCCCAACACTGGTTTAAAGTCTAAAATAAAGAATAATAACAGCTGACATTTAAAGAGCACCACTTGCGTGCCAGGCACTATGCCCTTCCATGCCCTGTCTGAGTGAATACCCACAACATCCCATGACCTAAGCACTACTGTTATCCCCATTTTAATAATGAGGAAGCAGGTTCAGAGAGGCTAAGAACTTGCCCCAAAATACACAGTTAAGTGGCAGCCAGAACTTGAAACCAGGTCTCTTTGGCACCAACCCCTGTGCCCTTGCCCTGTGAGCCTCACCACCTCCTGAGAACATCATTTCCTCAGAAACCAAAGACCAGAGTCCTGACTCAGTTTCCTTAAAGTACATTTGTAGTATCAGGTTATCACACAGAAGAGGAAGGGAGAAAATGAAGTGGGGTACCCTGAGTCTACAGTGTAACAAAGTCAAATCAAAGAAAATCACCCAGATTACACTTCAACTGAAGTGTGTTTCTGTGCTTTCCCCCAAACTGCTCAAAAGTAAACACTATGGATTCCTTCAGTAAAATCTTCCCATGTTTCCACATTTTCACTTATGGTGGTTTCCCTAAATTCTCAATTAAATCCCTCAGGCTAAAAGGTAAGCCCGTTTCATTGTTTAGTCTTGTCTTTAGTGAATGGTGAAAACATCTATTCACCACAATGCTCACCACATGCCTTCATATACTTAGAAACTATTAATGTCCCCACCCTGAGCCCCCGCCAGCCTTCATTTCTCCAAACTAAATAAACAACGTCCCTATGGTCCTTCCTCCCGGAGCTTACATCCCAACCTCACCGTTGTTATGCTTTCCTGGCCCCTTCTCAGGTTCTACACATCTTCCCTCAGTTCCAAACTTCAACCTGAAGAAAGGTTTATAATAAAAGCCCAAACAAGATTTAGGAAAGGCCAGCAGCTCACCTCTGTCATAAGCTCAGCTCCACAGATATCCCATTCACTTCAGCTTCTCAAGGCTGACCCACATTGTCTGAGGGGTCCACTCTGACCTCCCTGACCAAGACACATTTGCTTTATTTTACATTATTGTCTTGAGATTTTTCAGTCCCTAAATGAACATACCTTTACTTATTAAACATAATCCCATCCCACTTATTTTCACCTAACTCTCCTTTTCTGAGAGGCAGCCCTAATATGTGACGGCAAAGGAATGTCTTCCTACCCACCCTCCCCCTGCTCTGCCTTGTTTGCAGCAGGAATGCTAAGCACAAAGGTATACAGCACTCAACCTAAACTCAGCAGGCAGGCCAGCCCAGTTTAATCAAAGAGCTGGACACTGTGAAGATAAAACTCAGATTATGACAATATAGCCCTTAACTGCCCATTGCCATTGTCTCCTCCCAGTCTATCCCCTTAGATTCTCATGCGTGGTGGGAGAGCGAGCATTACTGGGTCTTCTGGCTATAAAACTATCTACTGGCACCATATATCGACCCTTACCATAAATCAGTGAATGAGTGTTAAATCCCATCGAGCCACTAGAGACTGATAATGAATGCTTTTCTTCAAAGACGGCCAAAGGCTTTGGGCTCACTCAATACAAAATACTTTTTTGAGAGGAAGACCCATACCTTTCCTTCTAGATGGTACCAACTATAGAGGAGAAGGGGTGCCTCTGCCAAACCTAGTCCCAGCATTCACCATGAAATCTATCTTCCCTCTTCTTATCTCTGCCCTCCCTGCTGTCTGCGAACGCCCTACCCCAGTGCTTTTCCAAGGTACGCCACCACCCCTGACTTGAGAATGACACAGAAGATAAGCAGCTAATTCCAAGGTCACTCCTCCTATTAACTCTGATTTATCCTTCTCTTAAACAGAGCCTCTCTTGCTCAGGGTAATTAAATATTCTCAAACAGCTCACTAAGATGCCACATGGGCATAGCCACAAGTGCTGCCCAAAGGCAGGGAGTTACTAATATTTACTGTTTTTTACCTCCTTTGGTCTCCTGCCTGGATTGCCCATTTTTCTATGGGAAATGACTCCTTAGATACTGCTATTTCTGGCCCACTTCCCCCTTGCTTCTCCCCTTACAGCACCTTTTCTGTCCCCGACCCCAACACGATATGAACCTTTGGACTATACAAAGTGGGAAGTGAAAGTCCACTCCTCAGGGGGCAGGATGAAGCCCAGAGGACTCTAGAGATGAGGGAGCTGTCCGCTTCAAATAAATGCTTCTATCCAAACACAAGGAAGAAGAGCTTGCTGCAGTCCCTCCTGGTTATCAAATAAGAGGGGTCAGCTGTCCACGGAGCAACCACATCACAGCCTGACAAAGAAAAGACATTCCCCGCCTTCCTGTGCCTCCTCCTCCATCCTTGTTATCCTAAAAGAATAACCATAAGCAAAACCTATTCCTACTTCCCAGTTGACAACATACCTATAATTTATTTCTTTCAATTTTAAAAAGCAAAAATCTAATTGTCTAAGTTAATGCTGGCTGCATCATTCTGGGTTGTCACCATTCATAGAACAGACCTATTTTAATGGATTGAATTGTGTCTCCCCAAAAAGATACGCTGAAGTGCTAATACCTCTGAAGGTGATTTTACTTGGAAATAGTGTCTTTACATGGGTAATCAAGTTAAATGAGGACATCAGGGTGGGCCCTAGTACTTTTATAAGGATGCCATAGCTGGTGTCCTCAGAAAAGGTGAAAATGTTGACACAGAGACATGCATGGCCACATGAGGATGAAGGACTGGAGGAAGGCATCTATAAGCCAAGGAATGCCAAACACGACCGCAAACCACAGAAGCTAGAAGGAGAAAAAGATGTTGCCTTTCACTGCAGGTTTCAGAGGAAGCATGCCACAACCTTGACTTCAAACTTCTAGGCTTTAGAATTGGAAGACAACAGATTTCTATTGTTCTACGACACCCAATTTGTGGTAATTTGTTACAGCAGCCCTAACAAACTAATACAGCTACCAAGAGTCATCCACACAGGCAACAAAGTGAAAGGCAACCAGCAGAGTAATGAAAAGCTGGGCTGGCTATGTCACATAACTCCCTTTAACTCATCTTTGACAGGAGGATAACAGTGTTTTTTTTACTATTGCACAGGGTTGCAGTGAAGATTAATTCAGATCATCCACTTAATGGGCTTAGCACAGGAGTGCTGTCAGGAGCTTCTTAACGAAAGAGAGAGAGAGAGAGAGAGAGAGAGAGAGAGAGAGAGAGAGAGAGAGAGAGAGACAGAATCAGACTGATGTGTTAAGATGCACTCTGGTCAAGGCCAAACTGGAGAAGGGGGAGACCCAGGACAGAATGCAAAGTCCAAAGGAAAGAATGAAGATCTGCAATGGAACAGACACAGAGGGAAAGGAGAAGAAGAGACATGGCACCGAGAAACATTCAGGATGTAAAACTCAGAGGACGCAGTGCCTAATGAATATGGAGAATGAGTTCTCTGCGGCACTAGCTAACCTTCAATTAGAGAAACTCAGGGAACAGAGGGAACGTGGCTTCACCTTCATGGAGTCAATATGTCATTACCTGCAATCCAAAGCCCAAGAACATTTAGTACTGTGACAAGAAAATTAAGGCTTCCAGTGCAAATATACACATACATAGTTCAGATCCCAGAAGTCTGATTTTAATTCCTTGGAACACCACAACTTTGTTTCTTTTTTCTGAAGGTCAGTAATATCCTGGTACTTGAAGTTACTTCAAGAAACAAATGAACACAGTCAATTTGCATCGTACCTGACTGACTGGAAGATTCCCTTGACTACAACCAACTCATCAAATATAAATAGCCACCCCAGCAATTGAGTTCAACAGACTTCCTACTGGTTTCCTTTCCACTTGTAAGCAATCAAATGGTATTTCACGGAGATGAAGAGTCAGACCCTTCCGGCTCTGCTACTTACTAGATATGACTTTGGACAGGTAAATAAACTTATTTGTTTCCATTTCTTCATCTGAAAATTGGGATAAAAACAGTACTTACCCTGAGAGATTTTATAAGGTTCAACTGACATACTGTAGGTAAAGTGCTTAGCACAGTACATGACGTGGTTTCAGCCAATATCATCAATTGTTATTTCACGCTCTTCCTTTGTATAATCTAGGCCAGTGGCTCAAACTGAAATGTGCAGCTAAATCACCTGGAAGGTTTGCTCAACTAGAGATTACTGGGCCCCTCCCTTAAATTTCAGGTCTAGAGTGAAGCCTGAGAATTTGCATGTCTAACACCGAGAATAGCTGATCTCCTCAGCAGCTTTTTCACTGTATGAATACCTTCTCCCAATCCTCAGCTTCTGAAGCCACTGACCTGCCTAGAAGCTGGTGTGCAGAGACAAGAACTTCTATAGAAAAGTAAAGGCCAAACATCTGAATCCTATTTCCAGCCTCTCAGCATTTAGTTTAACTTTGGGCAAATCCTTACTACTTTCTCTTTGTCCTAACATACTGAAAATTTCTTTTCATTAGCTCTCCAGATGTCTCACTGTATGAACCGAAAAACATCTGCACACTGCAATGGTTATACACTTAAATCCCTCTGGCACATCTATAGCATCCATCCTGTCCAAGTGTCACTGAACTGCTCGCTACCTTGGCTAGCTTTCTACTGCATGCATCTTGCTTCCCCCAGTGAGGCTGAGTCCCTCAGTCACAGCATCTGGGTTTTCAGCATTTTCTATGGTACCCAGTAAATATATACTTTTACATCTACCAAAACTGTTTATATTAAAACAGGTAGGCCCTGTTAATAATAGTGGCATTTCACTGTTTTTCTCATAAAGTAAAAAACAATTGCTTTTTATTGGGTTCTAGTCAGGTTCTGTTCTAAGCACCTCACATGGATAACAGTTAATCCCCATAGCATCTTTATAAAGTAGATGATACTACTATCCCCATTCTGTATATAGGGAAAGTAAGGCTCAGAGAAATAACTTGCCCAAGAATACACAGCTAGTAATTGGCTACGTTGGGATTTAAAATCAGGTAGTCCAGGAATTCAAATGCTGTCACATAGAATTTGCCTTTAGCATTATTTTTATTTGCTTTTGCCAGAATTTCTAGAGAAAAAGAACACTGCATTTCTAATAATCTTTATGTGTACTTTGATTAGTATTATTCCAAATTTGCCTGCTTTTGATGTTTTTTTTTTTTTCTGACTGACACATCCAGCTTTTTTGAGGTAAGTATTTTGCTATCCACTTTGATGTCTCAGTAGGTGCACCTAGTGAGTCAGGTATTTTATCTGTTGGCTTTTGTTGAATGGTATCCACAAAACCTCATACAATAGATGTTTACTTCTCACACATCTGTAAGGTTCAGCCAGCTAGGCTGGGCTCAGCTGGATAGCTTTGCTGATCTAAATGGGTTTCCCTCCTCCTCCTCCTTTTGTCTCTCCTCCTCCTCTTCCTTCCTTCTTTTTTGAGAAAAGAAATCCCTAAAGATTTATCATTCAATTTCCTGGTGTTCTGCTGTAGTGTGTCTGTGTCTTAGGAAGTTTTCACTTTAAGAAGCAGTAGCATCCTTATAGTTTTATTCTTATTTGCTTAAGAAAATTATCCTTTCTTGGCCAGGCATAGTGGCTCATGCCTCTAATCCCAGTACTCTGGGAGGCCAAGGCAGGCAGAATCACAAGGTCAGGAGATTGAGACCATCCTGGCCAACATGGTGAAACCCCGTCTCTACTAAAAATACAAAAATTAGCTGGGCATGGTGGCGCGTGCCTGTAGTCCCAGCTACTCAGGAGGCTGAGGCAGGAAAATCGCTTTAATCAGGGAGGCAGAGGCTGCAGTGAGCCAAGATCACAGCACTACACTCCAGCCTGGCGACAGAGCAACACTCTGTCTCAAAATGAAAGAAAGAAAAAGAAAGAAAAGAAAAGAAAAGAAAAGAAAAGAAAAGAAAAGAAAAGAAAAGAAAGAAAGAAAGGAAAAAGGAAGGAAGGAAGGAAGGAGGGAGGGAGGGAAAGATGGAAGGAAGGAAGGAAGGAAGGAAGGAAGGAAGGAAGGAAGGAAGGAAGGAAGGAAGGAAGATAAATTACCCTTTCTTAAATCTAGGTAGAGAATCTTTTTTGTACAGAGATGCCAGGCCTGAGTCTAAACCAGAAGCTGCATTTTGGCTGGAAAATCCATGGTCTGCGAGAGTTTTAAATTGAGGTACATATACTATTTTCGTGTTTCCCTGAAGTCTTCCTGCTGTGGATTCTCCACACCAGTGCCACACACAACAGAGAGGAGTGTCACTGTGTCCAAACTAAACCACAACCATCCTGGTGTGGGCTAAAACTAAAGTCAGACTTTTTCCCACAATGCAATTTTCATGTTCACTGGGACACTGTCCAAGTCCAAATTACATCATGGTCCACTCAGCAGAGTCTCTATGTTGCTCTACTTATAACAAACCCATGTAAGAAATCCATGTGAGAAACTTCATATAGTATCTTTTAATACCTGAATGGGGTAAGAAGGGGCTTTGAACCAGGAGGGAAAAAGAGAGAGGTACTATGTCTTTGGGTGACTACTACATCTGGATTATTTGAAGAAGAGAGGAAGGGTAGGAGAGAGGAGGAAAGTTAAGGTGTAATCACTATTTCACGACAAGATAAAGAACTCCTCCCCTCTGGACTCCCATTTCCACTCTGTCCACCTGAAAATCATATGGCACATCACCAGGTAGCTAGAGGAAGGAAAGAACGCTGGACGCGCCATCTCCATTGCTGTGCGTTGTACGGTAATGGCTGCTGGGAAGAACCCAGGGCAGCTAGGTTGACAAAGCACTGATACTTACAGAAAGCACAGCATCAGGGCTGCTCAATCTCTTCATCAACAACTTAGAGCATTTTGTAATCTACTACTGGTTAGAATGAGGGATGAATGTATGGGGACACCATTAAACCCTGAATATCTACTTACGGGCTCCACAAACTCAAACATCTTTCTCTCTTGGACTTCCTGCACCTTGAAGACATATTCCAGGGATACTTCATAGAAATGCTGCCGGACCAGATCCACTTGGCTGTCTGCCTACAAACAAGATGGAATTTAAGAGAAAAATCAAGTCACTACCCAAGGATAGCATTCCAAAAGCACATAAGAAAAAAAAATCTCTGGAGATAATTTTCAAAAACAAATCAAATAGCATTACACAGAAGAATAATAATAACTACAGTAACCATTTCACTAAGCAAAAGTATACTGAAATATCATGTTATACAACTTAAATACATAATTTTTTTAAAAAAGCAAAACAAAAAAGCTTTGTAATCCCGTCTATTCAGGAGGCTGAGGCCAGAGAATCGCTTGAACCTGGGAGGCAGAAGTTGCAATGAGCCGAGATCGCGCCACTGCACTCCAGCCTGGGCAACAGAGCAAGACTCCGTCTCAAAAAAGAGAGAGAGAGAGAGAGAGAGAGAGAGAGAGAGAGAGAGAGAGAGATTATCAGTTTAAAAAGGTAAATGGACACAAGGAACTCAAAAAACAGAAAAAAAAAACTACGAATAATACCATTAAAAAGTAGAAAGAAGATCTGAACAGACATTTCTCAAAAGAAGACATACAAATGGCAAAAGGATATATAAAAAAAGCTAAACATCACTAATCATCAGGGCAATGAACGTCAAAACCACAATGAGATACCATCTCAACCCAGTTACAATGGCTATGATCAAGATTAAAAAAACAAATGCTGGTAAGGATGGGGAGAAAAGGGAACTCTTACACACTGACAGTGGGAATGTAAATTAGTACAGCTATTATGGAAAACAGTATGGTGATTTCTCAAAAAAACTAAAAATAGAACTACTATATAATCCAGCAATCCCACTACTTGGTATTTATCCAGAGAAAAGGAAATCAGTATATCAAAGGAATACCTGTACCCCCACATTTACTGCAGCACTATTCACAACAGCCAAGATATGAAATGAACCTAAGTGCTCATCGATGGATGAATGGATAAATATACACATACAAAATGGACTGCTATTCGGTCATAAAAAAGAATGAAATTCTGTCATTTGCAGCAACACAGATTGAACTGGAGGTCATTATGTCAAGCAAAGGCACAGAAAAACAAATGTCACATGTTCTCATATGTAGGGGCTAAAAAAGTGAATCTCAAGGAAGTAGAAAGTAGAATGATAGTTATCAGAGGCTAAGAAAGGAGTGGAAAGGATGAAGAGAGGTGGTTTAATGGGTACAAAAATAAGTTAGATAAAAGGAATAAGTTCTAGTATTTCATAACACAGTAGGGTGACTAGGGTTAACTGCTGTACAGTGTGTATATCAAAATAGCTAGAAGATAAGAAATGTTCCCAACACAAAGAAATGACAAATGTTGGAGGTGATTTGATCATTACACATTATAGGCATGTATCAAAATAGCATACATGCCCCCATAAATATGTACAATTATTATATATCAATAAAAAAGTTTAAGTGGGTGAGCCAAATGGACATCATATTAGCCCAATAGTATGCTGCATGTTAAAAGTAATCAAATCTAACAGAAATAAGAATAATGATAACGGTTACCTGAGCACTAACTCTGTGCCAGGAACCATGCCTACAGCTGTACATACATTACCTTATTTAATCCTTATTAATTGCAATTATTTAATCGTCACTAAATTCCTAGAAAAGACATATTATCTGTATCTCTAACACACAAGAGGAAAATAAAATCCACTGACATTAAAGAACCTGACTAAGGTGGCACAGCTAGTATAAGGCAGAGCTGGGATTTCTGTCCTGATGCATCTGCCCTAAGGCCCTTGGATCATCCTGAAACCACTAGTCTCCACTGTCTCCCCATACCAGGGGCAACCTGGGCCCCGCAGGAGAGAGATTCTTACAATGAAAAAGAAATCCTGCAGAGACATCCTCATCCAGGCCTCTCTAACGAGCTAAACAAGCTGTCAGAGGGCAGGGAACCTCAGAGAAGGCCATGTTCACACAAGTCTCAAATATCTTCTATAAGGATAACAGTTTACTCCAAGCAGGGAAATTTCAACACTCCCTCTCAATTTCACTTCTCTTTCTGTTCAGTTGTGTGTCTAAAACAGGCCCATGAGTGAGTACAATTAAATCACTGATCTAGGATCTGGCATCCAGAGGGAAACTCCATGCATGGAGATACAAGACACTACACTGGGAGGCACCTCAACTCTCGCTATAAAGCTCTAAACCTTTCCAAAATGTGTCTGTGTCAACTCATTTCTTCAAAGCAGATAATTACACTGAAAGCATATTTCAATGACAAAACATTGAAGTGAATATGTATTATTAATATAAATGAATATCCTGCCAGTAAGAAACAACATACTCTGTTTTCCTTAGAAACGACACAGTCAGAAATGGTTCTATAATGCCCTTTACTAAGACAAAGCTCCCAAAGGCATATCTCTTTCAGTGTTCCTTTGTCAAAATCTCTGCAGAAGAAACTTGGGACAGACCCTTACTTCCGTTATACCAAATACAATATGCTACTTTGACATCTTAAGAATTTAGCAAATCATTTATCCATTCCACCATCATGAGCAAAAAAACACTTCCGTCATGGAACTTACAGCATAGTAAAGAGATATTAGTCAAATAAGTAAATTAAGAGAAAACTACAAACTCTGGTAAAACATAAGATGTTATAAAACACCCCAAAAGAATATATTCAAGTCCCTCATGCTAGCAACTTCCTCCTGCAGCAATGGGCATTCTCTCTCTCTCTTTTTTTTAAGACAGAGAAAGAAAGAAAGAAAGAAAGAAAGAAAGAAAGAAAGAAAGAAAGAAAGAAAGAAAGAAAGAAAAGAAAAGAAAAGAAGAAAAGAAAGAAGGAGAAAGAAAGAAAGAGACAGAGAAAGAAAGAAAGAAAAGAAAAGAAAAGAAAGAAAAAAAAAAGAAAGAAAAGAAAGAGAGAGAGAGAGACAAAGAGGGAGAAAGAACGGGAATCCTGCTCTATTGCCCAGGCTGGAATGCAGTGATGCTATCATAGCTCAGTGCAGCCTCAAACTCCTCACCTCAAGCCACCCTTCCACTTCAGGCTACCCTACCAAGTATCTGAGACCACAGGCATGCACCTCTCTGCCAGGCTAATCTAAAATAAAAATTTCATCTTCTTTTTTTTTTTTTGAAAACTGTTTTCTAAAGTGACTATCTTATTTTGTATTTCCACCAGAAACACATGAGTTTTGCTCCAGTTGTCCCATAGATTCACCAGCATGTAGTATTATCAGTTGTTTTATTTTAGCAATTCTAAAAGGTGTATAGCAGTGTCTTAATTTGATTTTATTTTGCACTTCCCTAATGAGCTATGATGCTGAGTATCTTTTCTTTTTTGTGTGTGATTATTTTAATATAAATTAAATTAAACATTTAATTTCTCAGTTGCATTAATCACCTTTCAGAGGCTCAAAGGCTACATGTAGTTAGTGGCTATCTTATTGGATGGCACAGATTATCAAACATTTCCTTTATTGCAGAAACTTCTGCTAGACGATAGAATGCCTTAACTAAAGTCATGAGTTCTTTCACATCAGAATTCATGGCTAATCTTTAGTAGGAACAGAGGAATTTGATAAGACTAAAACATTTAGTCCTAAAGCATTCAAAGTCCAATTTTCTCATTCCATGTTACAGTTACAAATTTCTCTAGTTTTGATTTAAAAATTACCTGACCATATCTGCTATTTCCCCAACTAAGCTGGAAGCCTTTTAAAAATGGGGCCACTTTTTATCCAATTTGCCAGTCTGTGTCTTTTGATTGGGGCATTTAGTCTATTTACATTTAGGGTTAATATTAATATGTGTGAATTTCATACTGCCATTTAAAGCTGGCTGGCTGTTTTGCCCATTAGTTGGTGCAGATTCTTCATTATATTGATGCTCTTTACCTTTTGGTATGTTTTTAGAGTGGCTGGTGCTGGTTGTTCCTTTCTATGTGTACTGCTTCTTTCAGGAGCTCTTGTAAAGCAGGCCTGGTGGTGATGAAATCTCTGAGTACTTGCTTGTTCACAAAGGATTTTATTTTTCCTTCACTTATGAAGCTTAGTTTGGCTGGATATGAAATTCTGGGTTGAAAGTTCTTTTAAGGACGTTCAGTATTGGCCCCCACTCTCTCTTCTGGCTTGCAGGGTTTCTGCTGAGAGATCTGCTGTAAGTCTGATGGGCTTCCCTTTGTGGGTAACCTGACCTTTCTCTCTGGCTGTCCTTAGCATTTTCTCCTTCATTTCAACCATGGTGAATCTGACGATTATGTGCCTTGGGGTTGCTCTTCTTGAGGAATATCTTTGTGGTGTTCTCTGTATTTCCTGGACTTGAATATTGGCCTGTGTTGCTAGGTTGGGGAAGTTTTCCTGGATGATATCCTGAAGAATATTTTCCAGCTTGGATTCATTCTCTTTGTCACATTCAGGTACACCTATCAAACATAAATTAGGTCTTTTCACATAGTCCCATATTTCTTGGAAGCTTTGTTCATTCCTTTTTACCATTTTTTATCTAATCTTGCCTTCTCGTTTTATTTCATTGAATTGATCTTCAATCTCTGATATTCTTTCTTCTGTTTGGTCAGTTTGACTGTTAAAACTTGTGCATGCTTTGTGAAGTTCTCGTGTTGTGTTTTTCAGCTCGACCAATTTATTTATATTCCTCTCTAAGTTGTCCATTCTCGTTAGCATCTCATCAAATCTTTTCTCAAGGTTCTTAGTTTCTTTGTATTGGATTAGAACATGCTCTTTTAGCTCACAGAAGTTTCTTATTAGCCACCTTCTGAAGCCTGATTCTGTCAATTCATCACACTCATTCTCCATCAGGCCTTGTTCCCTCGCTGATGAGTTGTGATCCCTTGTAGGAGGAGAGGTATTCTGGTTTCAGGTGTTTTGGGCCTTTTTGCACTGATTTCTTCCCATCTTTGTGGATTTATCCACCTGTCATCTTTGTAGTTGCTGACTTTCAGATTGGGTCTCTGAATGGACGTCCAGTTTGTTAATAATGAAGTTATTTCTGTTTCTTAGTTTTCCTTCTAACAGTCT